ACCTGGACCTGAACTCGGAAGGACTGAGTGAATGGCAGAAACTACCCCATCACAGAACGACCAACATTCCACAGTTCCGAGAGATTTGAAAGAGATGACACAAATTTCGAGTCCTCGCGTGGTGTCGATGTTCCTCGTTTGGTTCCCGAAGATGTCGCCATGGAAGGTGGGCAACCGGACGAAGAGGTCACAGACACTATACAAGACGCGGACTTAGCCGATGCCGTGAAAGCAAAAGCTTGGGATGTATTGAACAGGTTGTTCAACGGAAATATCGAGATGGATGCTATCACCACAGAAACACTTTGTGTACTGTGTGGATGTTCGCAGCATGTCTTTGGAATTGCAACACGGACCCACAGTTGAGGCGCCAAATCGTCCAAGCCTTTGCCTTTGACATCGTGAAGGAAGCCATCGATGCACACCCAAATGAAAGGCCATTGGCAAGTGCCCCTGATGATTCTTGGCAAGGTCGCGAAGAACGAGCAACTGGACCCGCAGACAACATGGACGTGGAGAGCGTTGAATCTTCTGGAGGACGCTCAAAAGCAAAAGCCAAGACCTCGACAACGTGTCAATCCGGCACATGGAGGGATGGTTAACGGTTGTTTATCGTGAGGTACGACAGAGGATCGGATCTCTCGGAAACCGTGAAGCGCAGAAGAGGGGAGAACAGTGTCTGCGGCGAGGACATCGACGAGATCGGACTTAGAAGTCACGATGAGGTCATCGCATGTCGCATGTATTCAGAGGTGCACCTCACGCAGAGACATCGTCGTTCCTCAACGTGGTGATCGAAGATGATATTCATTTGTTGACGATCGAGATCGAATGGAAGGGTATACCAATGCAGGTTACACCTGCATCGCTGACCGGCGTGGCATGCGGTATTCGGAACAGCATTCTGTCATCCGAAGTGGGGCATCGTGGAAAAGGATCAGCCAGTTTCTTTCTACAACCCAAATCAGAAGTGGTGGGACAAACAAGCAGTACGTCATCTTCGTACGGACCTACGGCATCACATCGGGAAAGCACCTGGCAGCTACAAAGTCGCACGTTCGTCAATCCCTACTATTCAATGCGATGAAGCTGGTTTGGTGAGGCTTGACACTCTCCTGAACATGGACGTGCTTTGGAGTCATGAACAACGGATGTTGGATCAACCTCTTCATGCTCATGATGCGGAAGAGTGCAAACGACAACTCAACAGAAGCTGCAGATGTTGTTCGACGGGAACCGCGTCAATCACTTTGACAGCGGGGAGATCCGCCTGCAATTTCTTGGTGTTCGAGTTGCCGAACCACCAAAGCTACATGGCATTCATGGTCATCAACTGCATGCACAAGAACTGGAGAGGAAATGTCAAGTGGCTCGATCTTCCTCTGGCAAGTATGCACCAATTGTTCCGACAGCAAAAGAGGTACGATGTTCTCGGAAGCTGGGGAGATGACTTGTCCCGTATCGACGAAGATACCGGCATCTCCAGGAATGTCACAGATGACGAGGTGCTTGCCTATGGACAAAGCCTTCGAGACCATGAAGATCCTACGGGTATTCACCTGCTCAACAAGTTCAAGACGAACCAGCTAATCGCCAAACTCATGAGAGGAGCTATTCAACTTGATAACGGCGGAAACACTTCGATCCGGCATTTCACATGCGAGAGAACAAGACGGAAGATACTCCACAGATGTATTCCAGCTGCACTGCAATGCTGTCAAGGCTGTCAAGGCTTGTATGCCAGATCGCAGGTTACCGACAGTATTCTCTGCTGGCAACAAGAGACGATAATACTCCTTGATGCGTGCTATGCATTGATCCCTTCGGTCTTTGCATGATGATCGGCGCAGAGAAATGAACACAACAACTTCTGACCGTGATGGTGGATCTCGACATTCAGATGGAAGCGAAATTCGTTGCGAGGCAACAGCTTCCTCATGGTCATCTTCCTGCAGGCCAACAGAGCATCATCGACCGTCCCAGTAACGCGGGAGGAGGCTGAAGCAGTCAGCGAAGTGCGTGCCAAGGCCAGGGCTAAGGCCAAGGCAAAGGCCAAAGCCAGGCATCCGCCAGAACCCAAGGGTCCTCCTCCACAACAAGATCGATGGCAACGCCACGGGCGATGTGATCAATGGCATGAAGATGCATCCGGAGCCCGACACTACCAAGGTCAACATCGATGGAACAACGACCAATGGGATGGGTGATCTTCTACGTGCACTTTGCCGAAGCCTTCGATTACAACTTCACATGCTGGACATGGCACCACATTTCGTGCAAATTTCTTCGATGCACTGGTCCTTCCAGGTCTAGCAAGAACTAGGGATCGCATTCGACGTAGCCGTGTCTCACGCTGACTTTAATTAGGGGAAGTTTGCACGCACAAGGATGTTGCCAAACTGCCGTTGACCTACAATCTCTTTGCAGGTCTCGCGACTCTCTTCCTATTTCTGAGCGGAGCCTGAGGCTTCACTCATGGGGGCTGCGAAGAGACCTCGAAGCCTGGTACAGTTCTAGGCATCGTACTCTGAGCTATGTTACAATGTATATATATATATATGAGAGCTTGGGCAGTCGTGAACTACCAAGCGGGAGCCGAAATTGGGAAGTCATGAACTACCAAGTGACGCCCCAAAGTTCATGTCTTTCAGTCCGTCAAGCTCATAAGCCGGCATTGTTTGGCTCAAGTGACTGAGCACGACTTAGCGATCCTCCAGCCACAGCAATGTGCGTGTAACCCTTTTGCACAAAGAACAGCTGACTCGAAGCCAATGAGCGAAAAGAGGATCTGCGTTTGCCTGCAAGGGATGCCGTTGTTATATCTGCAGAGGGCACCACAACTACTTATTCAAGAACATTGCTCTTCTGAGGGGAGCATCTTACGACAACGCCGTATACATCCGTATACCAACCCTCGCGCAATTCTTTATAGAGTAGTAGCGCATTGTATTCGTGTGGTAGGCCCGTGCGCAATCACGATACTGGCAACGTCCACGTACAGCTAGGGTGTGCCCTTGCAATCTCCGGATTTGAAGATCCTTTTTATTTTCCATTTTATGGGTTTATGATTAACTTAGTCGACTTGTTTGCACGTCCTGTCATCTGCGCCGGTGTCGAGGATACCAAATCGGAAGCATGCAGGGGCTGGTTCCAGAACCACCACAGGGTAATTCGCGGCGCTTGGAGTGCCTGACAGGATCCGACTGCCGTAATTTGGCCGTATCGCCTAAATGTGCCCATCTATGGTGCTTGGAGCTTGTGAACAGCTCGGCTTTTTGGAATTTTCAGCAGGTGGAATGTCCGCGCCCGAACTGCTTAAATCGGGCTTCCGAACCGTTCCACGTGCGTATGTCAAATTAACTAACTGACTGGTAAATGTGTTTGAGTTGATCCGGAAACCGTCAACAACGACGGCGTGAAATCTGGTTGGGTTCGTAGATCAGCACCTTGACTTGACCTCTGGATCCTGGCAGGGCCGAATTGGAGTCGCCGAGCCGGTGAGTGAGGCTAAGAATGTTGTGACCTCGCTTTGAAGTCTCCTTGCTGGGCCCGCGAGGTCGACGCTGGCCCGCTGGGCCTCGCCAGCCTGCGCGGAGTCAAGTACCAGGGGAGTTCGTGGGCGTGGCCGCGCCTTCGAGGGCACTAAATCTTAAGATGGTGTTTGCGTCCTTTCTGAGATCCGGCAGAATTTCAACTGTGAGTGCTTGAGCCCTTTTGATTCTGCAGCGGCAAGAAGCTTTTTCCATGAACACCTATGGCGCAAAGTATCAACATGCTGACGTGCTGAAGCCTTGAATTCGAAACAGCTGGGGCCGTTGTGTTCGAGCATCCACAGCTTCCCTCAACTTGCTAGCTTGGCAGCACTCCGCGGTTTGTTGCTTTTCAAAAAATGAGTGAAAACGTGGTCTGGTTGGTGGCTTGTCTACCCCGAGTGGGTGTCAGGATGTGTCAGGGCATGTGTTTGCATGAATTCATTTTTCAGTGCTACATAAGCAGTTTCTCTCCCACTGGACGAGTCCGGAAAGTCGAGAGCTTAATCGCATTCGTGCGGTGAGGCTGGGCGACTGGATGGCAGGCACGACTAGAGGGAGAGAGCGCCACTTGTATAGGCCCTGAGCACGAGATTGGGTGTGTCGGGTTTTCGGTTTTCTTCGCCTGTTGAGGCATCCTCCTCGCCTTTTTGGTGGCCCTCATTGCATGTGCAGCTTTCCGGGTGACATCCCGGCGCAAGCTGGAACCATTGATCTCTGAAGCGGAGGGCTCGACTGAGCCGCTGGGATCTTGTGAGTGTTCTAATTGCGGTCAGTGTGGTCGTCACCAAAGCAAAGCCAAGCAAAGCCAAGCGGAGCCAAAAGGATGTGCGAATGAGAGCCAGACGCTCGCCCTAGTCGACCTCCGGCGCCTCGGCGCGAGTTTAGGGTTGGCTGCCAGCCCCGGAAGTACCGGACGTCACATCGGTCCACCTGTCAGGACATGAGAAGATCGAAGTGCTGACGATGCTGTACAGTGTTTGCACCCGATTTTCGGCAGGGCATGGGAAGGCATGGCTTGCAGGCTGCATTCCAGCCGCAGATGGAGCGTCGCGATCTTTTGCACCCTGTACAGCAGTCGTAGGGTGAGCGGCAGAGCATCGGCAGAGCACGACTTGGCGTTGTTAGCCATGTGGTGGCTCAGCGACTGTACCTGGGCCTTACCAAGGGCGATTGCGGAGACCTGCCACAAGTAGGTCGCGAAGCGTTCAGGAACCTGTAATTTAAGCTGCGGCACCTTGAACATTCCTGATCTCATTCATGGCTTGCTTGCGCACAGGGAGGGAGCCATCCAGACAAGCCCAGGAGCTTTCTCCAGACAAACAAGCAAAGCTTCCAGCTGCTTGCAGCTCATCATAGCTTATCCACGCCGTCCTGTCGTGTAAATCCCAGTCTTGTGCTGTGCGGGTGCACAACCCGGTTCGAACAATAGACAGTCATCCTTTAGACGGACATAGTCCAAGCGGAACGATGACAAGCCAGGGCCCTACATGTTCTTTCAGCATGCAGTGTCTCCACTATGCTGATGCTGCTTTTGGGCAGTGGGCAGGTCAAAGTATTATGAAGCGGACGGTGTACGTTGGTGGTCTGGACGAACAGGCTACTGTGTTTACATCCTTCCACTTTTCAAACAAAAGCTTTCGACGATGTGGATCCTCATGAAGTTAGACTTGAATTCGGCACTGTTTAAACCACGATCCCGACGGCAGAGAACGAATTATGAATCTTGCAAAGATCCTCTCACCAGGGTACGGAGGCCCAGGAGATGCACAGTGACAGAGTACTGTTGCGATCGCTTGCGAGCGCGAACGCACGCTGCCCTCCAGCAACTGCTTCCCCACATTTGTGGTGGTAGCCTTTCCGCTATGCCATTCGCGACTCTGTCCGGGCAGGTCGACCGCAAGGTTTTGGAAGAGGCTTTCGTGAAGTTTGGGGATCTGAAGACGGTGTCGTCCTCGTTGGCTCTGTGCGGAACGGGGGGGGGCGGAGGCAGGGAGGCAGGGAGGCATCGTCCCTAAAGTTTCGGCCTCCGAGGTGGAGATTCCCCTGGACATGAAAACTGGGAAGCCGCGAGCTCGAGACTCCCAGAGGCCGAGCCGTCTTTTGCCGTGTCGCTGTCGCCGAGGCACCGAGGCTTCGGCTTCGTGGAGTTCATGGAAGTTGATGATGCAGAGGCAGCGCCTGACTACTGAGCAGCCATCGAGTGAAGGGTTTTACCTTTGTTCATATTGGAAAGCATTTATCGTGCCCAAAGCCCTGAAGAGTACTAGTTACGAAACGTCGGCACCGAATAGTTTCATGGGCGCGTGAAACATCAGCTGCATTCGTAGCATCGTTTTGAACATCCGAGCGAGTTAGTTGTGGTGTTCCGAGAAGCTGAACCCAGCGACGACATACGGACTCCTGGTGTCTTTCGCGCACAGAATCTGTGACGTTGGGTAAGAAGCTCATTTAGTGGATGCAAGTTACCCTAAATTTCTTGTTTAGACAGCGCTTGTTCCAGTGTTGTAAGTGACACCCGCCTGGTCAGGGTTGACCGGATTTCTTATTACCACCTGGGCTGAATTTCATTTTTATTCGCGGGCGTTCCGGCCGGGCAAAGGGCCGAACCTGCGCAACACGAAAATTAAACATCCAGGGTCTGAATTTTTACTTTTCCTGTTGAGCAGTGCGATGCAAAACCAGGAAAACAAGAACTCCTTTCTCGTTTCCTTATGCTTTTGGGCGGTCCGGCCAAAAGCCCGGAACATAACAAAAAAAAACTGAATTTGTTCTTCCTTAGGGTGTTTGGTGTCTTGCGTTTCTGGCTTTTGGGACAGCATTTAAAGAAATTAAATATGACATTGGGTTTCAGGATACAGGATTTGTCATTCTCCGTTTGGGTGGTTCTAGCAGATTCTAGCACATGTTCGCGAGGTTTCTCCTTGAACGTCGGCCCAAAACAGTGCTGGCGCTGTCCACTTCGACGGACTGGCAGGTCCCGTTGTTCGCGCGCCCACTCTCTCAGGCTGCCATCGACAACATGCACTCCGCCGAGCTTTACGGTCGGACGCCAGAGCCTCAAACCGAGATCTTCGTGTTACACCGGTGCCTTCGCATTGATGCTCCATGATGCTCCTCTGCCCAGTGCAAGGATCAAGGTGAATTTAGCACGTGCACCGAAGAATACGCCGACAACAGAGTCCAACAGGCAAGGGCAGCCCTGCAGGAGAGTCCCTTGCAAGACCTTCAGTTCTGTGCTCTGGCTGACTCTAGCTCGGGACAGGCCGATCTGGGCAGATGATTTCTTCTATCGCAAGAAGCTGAAGGACGGCTTGGGGCATTTCAGCTCTCTGACGGGACTTGACTTGTGTCTCAATGTGGAGCCTGGCACTCCGCTGCCCTTTGGCTCTAAGACCTCGTCGAACATATTAGTGCATTTCTTGCGTAGGGTTTCTAGCTCATAGCATGGGATGGGCTTGGGGCTCACAGGTGCCGTGCTCATGCTTGCTATGCTTGCTGAAATCACAGAGTCACAGGGTCCGGCACAAGACTGGGCGGCTTGCGTCCAGTCTAGGGAGTGGTCGGCCTTCCGGCATCAGGTCCGTGCCACCTTCGAAGCCGGAGCTGAGACTCTGGCCGTGGGGCGGGATTTGGCTAGAAAGGCGCGGGTGCTCCTTCAGCGGTGGCAGGTTCCAGCCGGACAATGGCGGGCCATGCTGGGAAGTGCCCGGCCTGCTGGCGCCGGGGGCGATTTGGAGGAAGCGCATTGCGGAACATCCGTGGACGTGACGCGTGGTGTCCTTGCTCAGGACACCAGTCGAGGATTTCACCCCTACCATTTCCTAACGCTGCCTCATGACAGTCCTGCCTGGAGACAGGAGGACTTTCTGCGATGGCACCGGGACTTTTGTTATTTGGGCTATGTGGTGGCTCTCTACGTGCGATCTGCTTCACGCATTGGCGGCTCCAAAGCCTTGCAGGAGGAGGAGAAGGTGAAGCTGTCAAGGGAGGATTTGCAGACTGCCTCGTCCATGCTGGGTCGCTGCCGTGAGATGGACTTTCTGGATCGCTCCGTGTGGGGTCTGCAGAGTCTGGATCTCGACGTGAGCCTGCTGCGCCTCGCGGACCAGGGTGCCCAGGGCGCGGTCGCTGCGGTGGCTCCCTGGCGCGGCTTGGCGGAGGACTTCCCCAGGGAGCACCGGAACGCCCGGCAGAATTTGTGGCAGGCCTTGGGGAACGGCGCCAAATTCCGAAGAAGTCTGGAGGCCCAGGTGGCCCGGAGCGTGGCTTCGGGATCCCTCACGGGCTGGCACTCCCCAAAGCCTCACTGGCGACGGCGGCCGATAGACGTGGCCCTCTTTGCAGTGCCGGTTTGGTATGCCACGGAGTTCTTGGTCGGCATTCTGCGATGGCGTTTCCCTGCTTTACCGCTCTCGGTCTTCTGCGCACCTCTAGGAGGCTACAACTTGCCAAGGTCCAACGAGCTGCGAGACCTTGTCGAGCCTTTGCTGCAGGAGCCCGCAGAGCTGCAGGTTTTGCGCTTGATCGAGGGCTACTGCTGCAACTGGGAGCAAGTGGATTTCCTGGTGGTGCGAGTTGCCTTGAACCAGCTGGCTCGCAGTCTCGCTCGCTCATCCTTTTCCTTGCTGGTCTGTGCCGGGCCACTCTGGCTCTGCCTGCTCCTGCGAGAGGAGGGACTCGACTTGCCGCTGCTGGCCCATTGCCTCACCTTCCAGGACCTGGATTACCCAGGCGACAAAGACCAGAACGTGGCCTGGGTGCACCGGAAGATCCTGGAGAACTTTGGTGCTGCACCCGGCTCCCGCGGCTCCCGCGGCTTCGGCGGCTCCGGCGGCTCCGGCACCCGGGTCTCGGGGGTCTTGGTGCAAGACGACATGCAGCGGGTCTACTACCCCATGATCTTCGACTTCACCCGGCGAGGAAACTTCAGCCATGCAGGCCAGCTGAGCTTCTTCCAGATGCCCTACATTCAGGCTCGCTACACGCAGCGGCGTCTCCGCGCGACTCGGCCCGATGCGGATGAATTGTCGAAGGTGCTCGTCGTTGTTGCAATTACACGCAGATTTGGTTACATCCTGACATGTGCCGTTGGGGTATGCCCGTGCCGTCTGATCAGGAAGTGGTGATCGTGAGGGAAGGCACCACGAAACGTTGGACTCTCTCGCTCCGGGGCCACCTCTGGTACCTGAAGCTGAAGCAGATGGCCGCGGCCCAAACGGAGCCTCGTTGCGTTGCTGTTGAGGCTGCGGCTGCGCTTATGATGTCGTCGTTTTTTTTCATGCCCTTCTTCAGGAAAGAGAGCTGCGCTGCTGTCAACTGCGATTTTTGAAGGACGAGGTGGCGAGGATCCCTTACTCCGAGATTGCCGAGCATCGGGCCGCCGTGTTCTTTCCGGGCATCGGCCATGCCAAACTCACCTTGCATGAGCTTCGGACGATGGGGATCCCCACCCTCTTCCCAGCGAAGAGCCTCATGTACCGAGTGGAGGACCTGATCCTAGACCCGCGCCAGCCCTACAGCGGAAGCTTCCTGGTGTAGACTTGGGTGTGTTCGATTCGGCTCACCCTTGGTAGCATCTCCCAGACGGGACACATTCACGCGAGGCTACGACGGCTGTGGCTCGCAGCTGGGCGTGGGGGCAATGCCACCAGGCTGCAGCAGTGGTTTCTCAACATCTGGTTGAGGTTTTTGCATGCTCAGTACTTCCGTTTCTGACGCTGTGTTTGCATGACAGCAGGTGTTCTTGCTGCTGAACCATAAAGTTAACATCACGGTATCTGTTGCATATCATCGGAGAGACACATTAATCACGAAAGCTCCTCGTGAGGGAGCTTCGTCCATTACCTCACAGAGTGAGCTTGGGGGTTATTTGGGGGAGGGGGGGTGCTGGCGGGGGAGGGGGGGGGAAGGGCCTGTTTTGGGCCAGATTTCGGTCCGTTCGGGTAAGTGGCTTTTTAGACGTCCAAAGGAAAAACAGGCTTCCTCTGATGCTGGCTTGGGCGTGTCCTCTGATGCTGCTGATGCTGGCCTGGGTGCGTCGGCTTCACATGTGGCAACATGACTGTCTGTCTTAGTCTGACAAGGAGTTCATATGTTGGATCAAAACCGCTCTTCGAGACATGTTGGATCAAAATTGCTCCCGNNTGTTGTTCTCTGCATTTTTTGTCTGCTGTGATGCGGGCTTGCTTTTGCCATCAAAACCGCTCCTCGTGACATGTTGGATCAAAGCCGCTCTTCGTTACATGTTGGATCAAAATTGCTCCCGCCAGTGTTGTTCTCTGTGTTTTTTGTCTGTTGCCATGCGGGCTTGCTCCTGCCATCAAAACCGCTCTTCGTGACATGTTGGATCAA